ACAGCTCATAGCAACCTCCAACAACTGGGCTCAAGTGAGTCTCCTGCCTCAGCCTCCCAAGTAGCTGGGACCACAGGCGCCTGCCACGCCTGGCTATATTTTGGTTGCAGCCCTCATTGTTGTTTGGCAGCCCGGGCTGGATTCGAACTGCTACCTTAGGTGTATATGGCTGGCACCTTAGCCACTTGATGAGCCACAGGCACCGAGCCAGTCAAGGAGTTCTTTACAGCCCCTTAAAAATGAACAAAATACAAAACAAAAATAAAATATGTCAGTATACACACACATTCACAAATATTTGTACAGCTGTTCTGTTGGTTTTAGGGTAATTCATGAATTCAGTAACAGAATAATTCTGAATGTTTTAACACTGTAATTGTGTGTTTGATGCTATTAGCTGTTGCTGTCTTTTATGTTTTTATTTGCCCAAATAACCTAACCTCATGTAACAATCTTCAGATCCCTACAAATGTTATCATAGATTCTTAGAGGTTTCTGTACTTTATTTCAGGAGGAGATTTATTTAATGATATAAGATGATTCTTTGACAGTGTTACTGGTCAGTTATGACCTCAGACTATTGATGTCTTATTTAAGTTAGTTTTAATAATTTGTATGGTTATGTTTGAGTGTGCAGCGGTGGTTTTAACATGGTACTTTTTTCTTTGCTTTCTCATATGATGTATACTTCTTTTGAAATTGAAATATTTTTATTTTGTCTTTTGATTTAAGTGATGATTTACTGGAGGATTCTGACAGTGAAGAGCATTCCAGATCAGATTCTGTGACAGGTATGTAACAACGTATTAGGTAATAAGTTTTGTAAATCCTTGGATTTATATAGTTCTAGGTAAAGCTAAATTTAATTCTAAATTTCTTATTTAATGTAAACTCTATAAATTTTCACCAATATACATATAAAATAGAAATATTGCATATTATAGATCATGAATTCGTATTATGTACATACTTTCCTATAATTAAAATTTAAATGTGCCTATTTGAATGAAAGGAATTAAAGTAATAATTATATTAAAATTTTTTCATATATATGAGGCAATTCATCATTTTTTATTTGTATAATGCATTCTGTTAACTAAAAGTAATGTTTAAAGCTCTTTATTCTCCAAAGGAAACAAATAAATAGAGAATAAATTTTAATGTATAAAACTGCAGACATTGGGGCATCAAGTGAGTGCTCCTTTTGTACTAAGTCATGAAATAGTAAGACAAAGAAATATGTTTCATATTTTAATGTTATTCTACATGAGTGATCAAATGCTATAAAGATTAAAATACATTTTTACAGAAAAGTCTAGTCGTACATCTCAAAATACTTTTGCTCTGTTAGAATTTAAATCCTAACTGATTATATTTCCTAATATATGAAATAGTGATCCATTATTTAGAGTTTTAGGGATTATGTAAAATAAATGCATACAAAGCATCAAGCTTAGTGCCTGAGAAAGAGCCAGTACTTGTTAAAAAGTGACCATTACTATCTTATGGCTACACTTTAATGTCAAATCTTAGGTATTAAGGACATAGATAACTTAGTAAATCTTTTTAGAAGATACATGGCTTTGTATAGTACAGTTCTCAAAAGTTATATTTAGTATAGAGTCGTCAGTGTTCTCCAAATTCTGATTTGTCATGAAATCTTTTTGAAAGTCACTGAACAGAACACTGGACTGATTAGGGGTTAATAACTCTCAGCTGTTTTTTGAAACAGGTCTCCACAATGAAAAATAAATGTATAGTAAGTCCTAGAAAAATAAAGAATTGAATGCATTAGAAACATTCAGACTGATGAAGATGGTGGTCTTTTCCTCCTTAATTTTTCTTTTGCAAAAACAGAAGAGAGTTGCTTTTTCATTTTCTTAATCTGGTAAAGAAGAATCTTCTAGTCACTGGTCACCTGGAAACCTGGTTAGAGCTTGAAGCTTTTCATAAAATAACTCTGGCATTGTAAAGTCACTCGCCTTTTACAGTTTTTCCTTTGTAAAGTATTTGCACAAAATGTTCTTCCATGTTCTATTTTCTGTGTTAATTTTTTTTTGTTCTAACTATAACTTCCCTGTATATGTTACAGCTTTGGTCTTTTCTAACGTCTCAGTATGTGTTTTGTAATTATAATACTCATGTTTGGTTTATTTTCTTAGCCTTGTTTTTGAGACAGAGTCTCAAGTGGTCCCCCAGGGTAGAGTGCTGTGGCATCATAGCTCACAGCAACTTCCAACTTGGGCTCAAGCGATCCTCTTGCCTCAGGTTTTTCTATTTTTAGTGGTGATGGGGTCTCACTTTTGCTCAGGGTGGTCTTGAATGCATGAGCTCAAGTAATCCACCTGCCTCTGCTTCCCAGAGTGCTAGGATTATAGGCGTGAGCCACTGCCCCGAGCTGGGTTTTTCTACCTTTGTCTTTTTTAATCTATGTGTGTTTGATTTTTCACGCTTCCTTTAGATACTGTACTTCTGTTTACTTCCCAGTTACCTGGGAAATTACCATATATTTTTGTTGACTATAGTGACACCTTTCTTAGGGGTAGGAATATTGTGTATATGTAGTTAGCTGTGGTAAGAGAAAAAACCCTTCCCATTCACAAGTTTTAAACTTCCTCATTTGAGGATTTATAAGTAGCTCATTCATTCATAGTAAAATATGTAACTTCTAAATTTTGCTTTATTGAAAGACTGTGGGTGACTTTTTAGAGACTCAGGGGGTAGCGTGTGTATACTTGATATTAGTGGTTGATGTGTTCTGTACTCAAAATGTGAACATTTATTTATAGCACTAAGTATTTCCCATCAATTGAATAATACAGTCTGAAGAATTATAGAATATATTTCTTAACTATAGTAATATGAGTGCAGAGTAAGAGACATCAGTTTTTCAGTTGAAGGTCATGACTTTTGAAAGTATTTAGGTGGTTACAGAGAGAAATATTTGGTTTTTGGACCACATTCTAGAATTATGGATACATGGCTTGTTGTGAAGAATGAGTAAAGAAGGGTTCAAAATGAAATTTAATGGGTTTAGAAAAGTGTCTTAGATAAAACCTAAGTGCTGACCTCAGGAAGTGTGCTGGCAGAAGCGCTGTGAGTCTGACACTACCCGAATAGGCAGAATAAGGTTTTCCAAAATGTCTGAAGAATGTTACAATATGGGATGTTTGTAGGTGTTTGCGTAAAAATTCGTTTTGTGGCCTAGTTGGTTTTAAAATTTGAGATACATAGAGATGATAGGTTTCCTTACTGCGAGATTTGTCAGTGATCATTGTGCTTTGTCAGTTTTCTGAAGTAGAATACGTAGTTTATTGCCAAATGTTTGAGAACCAGTAATAAGGCCATTTGTTATGTATTTTTGTTTTTAATGAAGAGCCTTACCACACATCATTTACTTTTAATATTATCCTAAATAAATGTTAAGGTATGTAGTTAATGCTTTATTTGTTTTTGTCTTTATATATATGTAGACTACAGTTGTTTTTTTTCCTTGGCAATTTCTCAGCTTACTTTGTTGCCCTTGGTAGAGTGCAGTGCTGTCATAGCTCACAACAACTTTAAATTCTTAGATTCAGGCAAGGCTCCTGCCTTAGCCTCCTGAGTAGCTGGGACTACAGGCACCCACCATAGTGTCCAGCTATTTTTAGAGACAGGGTCTTATTTTTGTTCAGGCTGATCTCAAACTCCTGAGCTCAGGCAGTCTATTGGCCCGAGCCTCCCAGAATGCTAAGATTACAGGTGTGAATCACCATGCCTGGCCACATTTCCTACTATAACTTTTTTAAAAACTATTTAAGTAAGTTTGTCAGTTCAATTCAATAAACAGTTGAGTATCCTCAGGATTTATTGTTTATAAGGAAACAAAAAAAACCTCTCTGTCATCTTGCAATTTTCTTTTCTTTTTCTTTTTTTTTGAGACAGAGCCTCAAGCT